GCAGCTGGGGTACGAAGGGCAGCCACCTGCCCCGTCCCTTTGTCCCTGCTCCACAGGCACGTGAGGAGGGATGTGGTGCAAACCACAGTACTCACAGTGATGCCGCCTCCCCAGACGCCCGCCATGACCTTGGCGTCCTTGCTGATGTGCCCCTCCACCAGGTACTTGGCTGTCCCACCGGGGAAGAGGAGGAGGATGTTAGCTGCCACGGAGAGCGTGCCCAGCGCCAGCAGACAGGGACCCACGATCCGGCTGCACTTCCCAACACACATGGCCACCCTGTATGGGGATGGGGATGAAGAGGAGGAGAGGAAGGGGCTGCCTTTGGCCCCGCGATGCCCCACGGCTCCCCCACCCCACAGCTGCACGTGGACAGGAGTTTGCTGGTTCGTGCTTTTGGGTCCTGACCTGCCCCACTGGCACTGCCCTCACTCGAGAGCATTTCCAACGGATATCCTATTTTCCCCACACCATCCAGTGAATTAAATATTTAAAATAAATTCAACGTTAATACCAATCTACTGCCACCGAACAGTTTTCCCGAGGTCGAGCAATTGTCTCATAGAAGGAAAAGCCCAACTTCAGACCTGCTGATAGTTCTTTGCCAAATGGGGAGGTTAAGGCGATGGCAGGTCCCTCACCGAGCCTTGAGACCTGCGTGACCCACAGGGTCGGCTCCTCCAAAATGTTGCTACGGGATGGAGTCCAACCACCACAGCTCAGTTTGCCTTTGAGTGTTTGCAACGAGCAGGAGGGAGCCAGGAAAGGAGCGAAATCCTTGGACAAGGACTTACGAAAGCACATCAGTGTCCAATCAAATCCAACAGCAACTCCATCCCCATCGCGCACCAGTCCTACCATAGGTCTGAATACGCTGAAACCAATTAAAGTTCATTAAGAAAAGGCTGTCACCTATCCTTGGGCAAGCCATCCAGCTCTGCTGATATTAAGTTAGAAGTTCACCCAGAAAGTGCCTGCCCATCTCCAGGTGATGCCCCAACAAAAATTAGCTTTCCCTCTTCTGTACCTACAAGATGAGGGATGTCCACCAGTCGCTGTGAGACCACCGAAAACAACTTGGTTTGCTGTTGTCCTGGCTTTCCAGGTTCCTTCTACCCTGCCCTCATTTTTGCTTTGGGGTGTTTTCACATATTTTCCCCTTTCCCGGTGGTTTGCAACCCATTTTGCACAAGCTCCCAGAAGGGAGCTCCTTCCCGTGCTGGCCAAGTTCGCTCCGGCTTTGCAGAAGCAGAAGCAGAAGCAAACGGGCGCTGCGTGGTTTTTTCCGTGGGAAGAGCTGCCTCATCCCCTCTCACGCGCAGCAACGGGGATGAGCGGCTCAGGCTGCGTGGCCGGCCCCTGTGTGGCCCGAGAGGCTGGGGGGCACCAGCCCAACGGGGCTTCGTGTTGCCACGATCTGCTAGAGATCAGCCACGCCAGCCCTGGCATGCGGCTGGGGCCAGGGAGGGCTGAACGTGGAGGAACAGGGCTGCAAAACCCTGCTGCATGGAGAGGACACGAGTCAAGAAACCAAGAAGCCCGAGGACACGAGCCAAGAAGCCTGAGGACACCAGCCAAGAAGCCTGAGGACACCAGCCAAGAAGCCCACCAGCTCCACCCATCCTGGAGCTTCACCCCCCTCTGCTTTCTATCCTCCCCACTTGGTTATAAGGAATTTAGGGCCTCTCGCCCCCCACTGCAGCCCCCTAGAGCCACAGGCATTCAGCGCTGAGTCCCACCTGCCCTCGTTGGAGGACCTTCTAGAATAGCTCTTGCTCTGGAGCTCACAGCATGGGCTGCTCTCACCAGCCAGAGGTTTTTGTGGTCTTCTGCGTGTCTCTCCTTAACCTCTCCAACGACTCTCCTTCCCCTCCACTGCTGCCCTCTCCCTGGGGAAGGCAGGAGGTCTCCTTCCCCCAGGAAGCTCTCCAGGGCTTGCTGTCCCCTCAACGCTCCCCTTGAGCAAGAAGTAAGTTTGCATTAGCTGCTTTCTTCTGCCTTGGCCAATACAGCCAAACCCCACTGTAAGGGGAGGTAAACCAAAAGCACAGCTGACCCAGTCTCTGTTAGGACACTCAAAAGAAAGACTCCCCTCCTGCCAGCATGTGTCCATGGCCAAAAGCAAGGGGATTCAAGCAAAGCCCAAAGAACCCATCCTCCCACCCTCCCTGCTTACCTGGGAGTGATGCCACGTGGAGCCGGCAGCGTCCGCTCCTCAGATGAGCCCTGTCCTGGAGGCATCACCCATGGGTGACTATTTATGATGTCCCAGCGTGTGCTTCACATCTTCCTCCTCCACCCTGAGGTCCACCCACTGCATCAGTCATGAGCCTTCCCTCTCCCACACAACCAGTGGCTCGAAAAGGACGACTGTCCTGTCTGAACGAGGCAGCCTCTGCCGGCGTTGGGGCCGGGTCCATCTGTTGGGTTGTGCCCCCTTTCTCTGGCAGAAGCCGTAAGTCCACCAAAACACACACAATTCCAGATTTTAAGGCTTCTGCCACATCTGTCCTCAACGCCTGGACCACTGCCCCAGTAGCAAACCCCATCTCTCCCAGAACAACCTGCAATGTCTGTGTAGGGAGAACATTTTCCTCTCTCCTCTGCAGCCCGCTCCAAACACTATCGTACTGTCGCCGTGAGTCCACGTCCTCCACCAAGGGCTCCTTCCATCACGTTTCACCTTATTCCCCTCATTGTGCAAGAGCTTTGTGAGTGGATGGTGAACAGCTCACGTTTGCCTCTTCACATTTGTACCCAAAGAGGGGAGACCTGATTACAGCCTACAAATACTTGAGAAAAGATGGTGGGGAGGTGGGGGAAGGGCTCTTTACATTAGTGATGGGTGATAGAACAAGAGGAAATGGGTATAAGCTTAGTCAGGGCAGATTCAGGTTGGATGTTAGGAAGTATTTCTTCTCTGAAAGGGTTGTCAGCCACTGGAACAGGCTGCCCAGGGAGGTGGTTGAGGCCCAATCCCTGGATGTGTTTAAGAATAGGGTGGACGAACTACTTAGCGATATGGTTTAATGGGGATTAGGGACGGTTGGACTGGATGATCTCTAAGGTCTCTTCCAACCTAGAAATCTATGAATCTATGAATCTATGACCTGCAGCCCCCCATTCCCTGTGCCCCTGCACCGCTGGGGAGGAGGTAGAGCCGGGAAGAAGGGCAAGGTGGGAAGAGGGGAGAGGTTGTTTTTAAGATCTGGCTTTGTTTTCTCTCTGTCCTCTCAAGTAACTGTTAATGAATTGATTGGTTCCCAAGCTGAGTCTGTTTTGCCCAGGACCATGGTCGGTGGGTGCTCCCTCTCCGTTCTCATCTCCGCCCTCAGCCCGTTGTTCCATGTTTCTCCTCTCCACCTCACTGAGCGGAGCAGTGAGCGAGCGGCCGATGGGCTGTGCTGAACCACGACAGCATCTCACACCTTGATGATAACATGGAGAGAGGAAGGTTATTTCTCGACATCTTAATCATTGCGAGTCACCAGACACCAGCATTTCGAAGTCCTATCCCAGGTGCCCATGGTTGGTAGCATGCAACTGTGGGGAAGGTCCTCTTCCGTCCCCACAGAGAAGGTCTGACACTCGAAGACGGGAACAGGACTGGGAGAACGTGACCTCCATGTCTGAGAACAGGAGACAGGGAAGGTGTAGCACAAAAAAAGGCAAAACCAGGGCAGTTTTTCCAGCAGAGGAGTTGCAGGCAGCACAAGCGAAGAGGAGAATTGCTCATGGGCTGTGCAGGCAAAACGAAGAATCTTCTCAAAGAAAGAGTTTGGAGAAGGTTCATATTCCTCACGTTCATCATGAGGCACATCAGCTGCTCGGGACGTGGGCTTCACCATCTGCAACAGGAGACGACGTGTAGGTGGAGCTATCTTATAGCCCTGACAAAGCCTTGCTCCCAGATAGGAAATGAAAAAAACCCAACTGGACCAACTTGCTCTACGTAGGGTAACGCACACCAGTAGCATTTGCCAACACGTTTCAAAGTGGCTTTTCCTGTTTCCAAATCAAAGAGTACGGGACTGTCGAGAATATAAAACCTGCTCTAAGCACAGCGTGCCACCGTGGGTTGGAAGAAACAGAAAATGGAGTTGGAGCCCTTGAGAGCCACATGGAAAAAGATGAGTGGGTGAGGCTGGGTTACATCAGCCAATTCCGCTTTTTTCCTAGAAAAAATAAGCTGGTTACCTGAATAACGATAGTTCCTCCGAAAGGAAAATCAGAGTTTGCACCAGCACGTAAACCCCCTTTAGATTCTTAAATAAGAAGAATTGGTCTCTAATAAGCAAAAGCAAAACATGTAGGACGTGTAGGACAGCAGGCTGCTAAGAATAATCCCATTTGTCCTTCCTCTCTTCTTTTTTTTTTTTTTACTTATAAGGAGAGGAAGCGTTTTTTCACTCCGCTAGAAGAAAATGTGTTGCAACCTCATCTTGTGCCCTCTTCTACGTCATGGCACCCTGAGCTTCCTACGTCGCCGCACACATGATCCGGTCAATCATCTCCCACGGAAAACCCCCTGCCGTGCGGCGTGGAACGTCAGGGTGAATCTTTTCCCCAGGATCACTGATCTTCCCCCTACACCCACTGCTGCCCAAATCCGTAATAATAGTGACAATAAAAGGCTAATTTTAGCCCTGCACAGCCTGCCAAGGCTCCGTGTCTCCCGTCCACGGTCTGCAGGTCGTGTTCGGCAACGGCTCTTTCTGAACTTTAAGGACTGGGAGGTTTTTTATAACGACTGCGGCCACTCTCGTAACCATGCTCCCCTGGCTCTTTGCTTCCCCAGACTCCTCTGGGGCTGTGGAAATGGCACAGCAGGTTGGGTTTCAAGAGTGGTTTGGCTTCAAGGAGAACCAAAGAGGCCAAGTTGAGTTTGAATCACAGAATGTCAGGGATTGGAAGGGACCTCAAAGGATCATCCAGTCCAATCCCCCTGCCGGGGCAGGACCACCTAGATCAGATCCCACCAGAACACATCCAGGCGGGTTTGGAACATCTCCAGAGAAGGAGACTCCACAACCTGTCTGGGCAGCCTGTCCCAGTGTTCTGGTACCCTTACTGGGAAGTTGTTCTTCCTCAGGTTTAAGCGGAATCTCCTACGTTCCAGCTTATATTCATTTCCCCTTGTCCTATCATTGGATGCCACTGAGAAGAGCCTGGCTCCATCCTCATGACAGTCACCTTTTCCATATTTATAAACATTAATGAGGTCCCCCCTCAGTCTCCTCTTCTCCAAGCTAAAGAGACCCAGCTCCCTCAG